ACAACCTCTCGTCAATATGCGTTTTTCGCATTGCATTGCTGCAAAAAACGCATAAAAAGGGAGGGCAGTACATGGGTTGTGAGCATCGTAACCTATGTTTAAAGCTTATTTACCAGTAGCAACCAAAGCTAAGTATGTTTTGACTTAAAGGCAGCAAGAAGAAAACTTTTCCATATCAAATTCAATACTAATAAAATTAGTCATTTTACCAAATTCATTTTTTCATTGCCTAAAAAAGAATCCAATTTTGGATTGATATCAGTGTGTTTTTTCACTGCGGAAATTTGTTAAAACTTCTCGATAAAGCCATAAAGGTTATATATTTCTTCATCTACCTTAGTTTTTTTTTCTTTTTTCTGCGAAGCTTCAGTATAATTGTTGGTGCAGTGTAGCCGGCAGGCTCCGGAATGAATGAATGGCAACCACATATGGTTAGTTTTAGACGCCCTTCACCCAATTTGTTTATTTTTTCTTAAGAACGCCATTTATCTATTTCCTTTCGCTCGTTTATTTTGTGGTTCTTTCGTCTTCTCATCGCTAACGTCCATCTGCTCTAATACTTGCACTGTTATAGAAAAATATTAAAAACAGGAATGCAGTTTACAGGCTGTCCATTATCAAGCTCTAGTTCTGAAGTACAATGAAGGGGTCAGCAAAAACGAATGAATGCTCACTGTGACAGTTAATCGAAATTCGGTGTACCTCCGCTCTTTGCAAAATTTGGCCAGGATTTTAGATTAATCAAAATTGAGTTTTGAATAAGTCGGACGTCCTGGAATAGTAAAACTGCTGGGAGGCAACAACATTACTGTCACTTTAATCAATTTTATCAAAGAAGTTCTTTGATTTGATAATACTTGTTTTACGGTTTCAGCTGGCCCGCCACGATTCAAACAAAATCAGCGGGTCGTACATGAAGTATTTCTTAACGACAAGGCAGTATTCAAATGTACTGCACTGGCAAGACCGGCTCCCAAGGTTTCCTTTGATATGATTCACAAATTTTGGTCAGTGCAGTGATTCAAACGTTTGAGCCGTTTGTATCGATGATAGCGATCAATTTAGAAGAGAAATTGTGGAAAGTCGTTTTCTGTTCAGTGTTTCCGAAATTCGCAGCCGTTGGGCATTTGTGCTGTTTTGACGATTTCCAAAATGTGCTTAAAGCAGACTGTACAGCGCACGTCTGCTTGACGCATAAAATATGCCACCTCATGCGAAACGAGATAGTAAACGGTTTTATCCCCGTGAAGCTTATCGAGAAATCACCACTGATAATTTAAGTTTTCTAGCATTAGGATAATGCAAGTTGCAAGGCTGAAGCATAGGGCTAAAAATTTAGCGTGAGTTCGCCATAGGACGAATATTTGCACCCCTACTGAAATCAATATTTGGCGGCTGAGCACCCCAGGTGCATGAATAAAAATGCAGCCGTTTGACTTTTAACGACCGCAAAGAATTGAGTTTTGATTGCTGTCTAGCTGGTTTGCGTCAAAATTATCACATTTGGCGTGGAACACCCCGTAAACAAACTCTCTTGTCTTACATCTGAAATGACAAAATGTCTAAATGTTTTTGAAGTGAGCTACAGGACGCGCTACCAGGACTGTATAAGGCAGTAGCTGTTTGTTAGCTATCTCGTCTTTTAGTGCTTTGAACTCGCTAAAAGTGATGCACTTGCTCAGGCAATAAAAATGCGAACTTAAGAAGACTGGGATATGAACCTGCTGGGAAGTTTAATGGGATGCTAATGAACAGGTGGAAAGGGATCCATGTGGCATCTAGACAGTTGTTTGTCCATAAATAAACTGAGAAGTGCAGGTGTTCCAACCCTTTTTTGAGCTACAGATTCTGTTAGGAGCTGGTAACCTAGCAAGAAGGTTGGCCGATGAACTACACTGCACCACCAGAAGTTCGAAGAAGCAAGCTTGGACCAAGGCTGCGGTAGAGGGAAAGGTTTCCAAAAAGGAAACATATGGGAAATCACATCAGAAATATTTCACTTTCAGATCCATTGGTTTAGAAATGGAGAATTTCTGGATCATACAAAGTATGCCAATAATGAGCGGCTGCGTGAGAATAAAAAACATTTCTCCCTGGAGATCAGGCGAGTCGAAGTGAGCGATCAGGTGAGCTCTTCAAAAAGCCTAGAGGACTGCGAGAATTCCATTACCATTGACCAAACTGAAGGAAACAGCTGAAGCCGACTTAGGAGAATAGTGAATTATTATTTGTTTAAACATCTGAGTCCACAGCAGGGAATAGGTGCAACAGTGAGTAACCCAATGCTTGCAGACTGACCACTTTACTTTGGCTGGAATATTCTACGGTGATTCTGAATCAGCCAGCTCAAGCTCAGATATATGTGCTAGCCATATCAGTAATTTCACTCTTAATTGTGATTGCAAAGTATGAACAAAAGAGTCGAGAATGGGTTAGGGATTAACGGAGAGTATGTGTATGAGGAGAGTGAGAAAGGGAAAAGGAAGATGGGAAGGGCAATAGGCTAAAAGCAGTGGGAAGCTTAAGATTGTTCATTGGTAATGCTTAATGGAAGTGAGTCTGAAATGAACGAATGAAACGGCCACGATTAAAATACATTTCAAGGAGCATAAGTTTAGCGTTAAATATAGTATTTGTCTGCAGCATATGATGTTTACTTTTGAAGAAGAGCATAGCATGAGTTTTTCAATTGACAAGGTCCTGAGAAGGCCGCTGAAGTATAAGAAGCAAAATTCGATGCGCAAACGAAACCGAACATGATGGATCTGAACAGTTGGGGCCTATGGGGAGCAAGAAAAATCACTGAAACAATAAAGGAACTGCTTCTGAAAGGTTCATGAAAAACGGAAAACCACTAATGTTAAGCAGTAGAAAAACTACCGTTTTTTGCATTCACAGTGCGTAAAAATCGCTAAAATGGCGCAGATTAAATTATTAGTCCCGTTGTAAGGACAAGCAGTTCGACCTGAGTGATTAGGAAATTAATCGGAAAGCAACAAACTGCGTACATATAATTAGAAGCGTAAAAGTTGGGTATTTAGACGAACAAAAAAGAAACAATAGTGCAGTCTAGGTTCAGAGACTTCAGACTTGTTGTCGATAGTCATTCCGTCATTGCTGTGTGGTTTGCAATGTTTTGCCATTGTTTTCAGACTTGTATTGAACAATGGTTTTTTAGGGTTCGTGGGCATGTAAAGTGTGGAATCAAGCTGGCTCTATATTTCGCAATTTCACTCTTGAAATTATTGGTGAATTTTGAATTAAAAATCACAGCTTTGCGAGCAGTACTAACTTTCTTAATATGCTTATGAAGCGGGTTGTAGTGAAGTGAATTAATGAGTGATTGCGTGATTGAAAAACTGCATGATCCAGGTCCAGTTGAGATGAAAGTTTGTGCTAAAAATCAACTTTGTTTGATTCCTCTTCGACGAAGCCTCTAGGCTTTTTAAGTCTGAATTTGCGGCTGTTACGTGTACCTCTCTTACAGCATGGTGCTCTTATCTAAGCTTGCAGATATGCTAGTTTCGATAGACAAAATAATCACATTGCTCACACATGGAGTTTTTTTGAAGCTGTGAATAACATGCTGATTTAATAGGCTATCTTCTGTTTGCAAATTTGCGGTAAACATGTTTTCAAAGGCCGACAAGTCTCCACACCACTGGAATGGATCGTGCGAATCCTAAAAAATTACAAAGGTTTGCAGGGCATGAAACTGCTATTCGACGAGGATTTTTTGTGATTATTTTTTGATGCATGAATTTCCAACCCAGAATCATGAAGTAATTTAAACTTCTTAGTAACTGTTCACATTTCGCATGCACGGTGTGTCGCTTGCTTAGCAGCACGTGTTTAATATTTGCAGATTTTTGCGACTATTTTTTGATGCATGAATTTCCGGCCCAGAACGTCCCGGAAAAATGCATCTGTTTATGGTATTTGACTGGCGAATACCGGAAGGATGGCATTAACTGGACGGAAGTCAACAGCGATCGTTGTGAACCCTTCAAAAAATACGCGTCCAAAATCCGGAAGCCGTTTGGCAAAAAGATTTGCGAAAATGGTGCATGCGGGAATGAGTTACCCGGTGCGGATGCGCATGAAGTACTGCAAGGAGTTGGACTGCATGATGCAGTGCCGAGTGACATTGTGCATGAGCAGCCGCAACTGCCACCAGATGATTTTTTTGGTAAGCATGACGTTTCGACCAAATTGCATTTCTGAGTTTAAAATTTTCATTTGTTATGCAGATTTTCAGATCCAGAAAAATTACTCAACTGGTTGATGGAAAATGATTGGGCGGACGTGAGTCATTTGCTACCGAGTCTGATAACACAGCAAAAGATTGCCACAGTAAAACAAGCACTGACTGATTGGGATACTTTAGATGCCGCTGAAAAACGTCTTCGGGCACGAACACTTCTTCAACAAGAAATTCCGAAAAGCAGAAGGAAAATTACAAACACTGATATCCAAAATACGGATCTAGAAAGTAAGGACGATGATAGCTTCATTCACAACAATGAAAGCACAATCAGTGATGAAGTCGCTGAAAAATTGCCTGAAAAGTCACCTCTTGATTTATTAATGCATGACCAGCCACGCTCGGATACGTCGCGTGAAGAACGTCTAACCGATATTGCGCCACAACCGATTGCTGCGCCCGAACTTACAACAGCAACAACTACTACTACAGCAAGGATTTTATTCCTTGTTACGACAAATTTAACGACACCGCGGCCAACAACGCGGCTCTCTTTTCCGCCTCAAAAAGGTTTAACACTTAGTTTTTTTTTTCTACGTTAGATTTTTCACAACTCCGTTCAGTAAAATAAACGGGAAACGAGAACATTTTAAGAATTTTGTTTGCTGGCGTTTTCGTCGGTAATTTTGTATGCTGTTTGCAGTGAGAAATTCCTTTTCGTCTGAGTCATATTTTCGTCAAGACATGTTTTTGTTTGCTGAAACCTTGGAATCCTGATAGCAAATATTTCGCAAGGCAAAAAATTAAGTTCTTTTCAGTCATGCTATCGCAATAGCTGTAGCTTCATTTAATTTGTTGTGCTCTCTTATCAGTTTCCTAATTAGAACTCTTCGTTTTCTTGCTCGGGGAATCTTTTTCTACCGCTTTTCAAAGTTCGGAGTTATGTGGATGAACAGATCCAAGAAAAAAAAAATCTGCAAGAAGCCGAAAGCAGTATTGGTGTGTTGATGATACAGGAAAGTTTTACTTGGTATATTATTTGCCACTGAATTGCCTTTTTTGTCCCCTCCGAATTTTTATGCTTCTTTTCTACTCTTAGGGTTTTACAGTACCACCGTACTTCAAAGTGCGTGACGAAGACGCGGATACATCAGTAATAACACCTTCCGGAAGAACAATTAAATTGCAGTGCAAAGCTGGAGGGCAACCAGAGCCTCAGGTATGAAGACACTTTTGCAAAAAAGATGAAAAATTGAACTTTTGCAGCAAGCACGATTATTTGAACTTAATTTTAGCAGGCAGTGAATCCTTTTTGGAAATTGTCCGGTGCTTTCGGTTGTAGGTTGTTAAATTTTAATCTCTCTTCAGCAGCGACGTCCTTACATGTTTTCAGTCCCTCACTTATTACACTGGGTAGCAAAAAATTTCTTTCACAAACGAAGCGTGCCGAAAAACTCAAATTTTGAGGGTTTTGGATAAGTGCGTTTGAGTTAAAAACGGCGAGCAGTGGTAAAAGGATCGAAATTTGTTTTGGCGGTTGTCTTTCCATAATAACAACTTTGAAGGGACAGTTCTTGGTGAGTGTTTTTTTAATGTCGGGTGCAGATGTTTCTGAACTTAGCCACAAGTCCCTCAGCAAATATGCCACGGGGTAATTCCGCGGTATCTGATGTTCTAATCCCTGTTAAATGTGCGGTCTATTGGTTGTCAAAATTGGCTTGGGTTATCAAAAGTTAACAATAAATATTTGGCTGTTGATGGGAAATCGCTCTATAAAAAAGGTAGTGATGCATAAACTGAAAAAGAAGATTGCTTTCTGGTCTTTTAAAGGGTAATGTGAGTTGCCGCCCAAAGTCTCGGTTATCGCGCAGGTTTTTTGCTTCCCGGTCAGTCAAAACTCGTATTTGCCTTTCTCCGCGAAATTTCTTATATTGGGGCTTCTTTTTTCTCAATTCCTTAAGCTGTAATACTACACTACAAATAATTTAGGTAATTTGGTTCAATAACAACAAAAAAGTAATAACGACCGAGGTCCGAAGGCCTGTAGGAACAGAATTTCGATTGCGAAAAAACACGCTAGAAATTGAAGATGTTGCAGAATCAGATTCCGGTGACTATACTTGTGAGGTAAACTTGCTAGCTTCTTTGTCCACTTTTTTTGTAAATGCAAAGAACACATATGGAGAGGAATGTGCCTCCTTCTGAAGGAAAAAGGTCTCTGAATGTAACAGCGGCTTCTACAGGCTTTGTTAGCTTTTTAGAGCGCTAATCCTTTATTGAGCGTCTTCTACTTGTTAATTCATGCTAAAGAAAACGTTTGTAATTTTTTCGGAAATACTCCGGAAGGCTTAAAAATGTTTTGGCTTCTCATGAGGTTTGAGTGGAGCATGAAACAAAAATGTGAGAAGGGTAAAGTCTGAAAAGATGCAGGCAGAGTGCGGTACACGTTCAGTATCTGCTAGCAAATTGTCTCGTATTTTATTTGGCTCAGTTTGGTTCAGATAATCGTCAGTATCTAATACAGTGCTGTTGGACGAGCTTAGAGTGATGAAACATTTGACGCTTCTGGTTAACCAGTTTCACGGTGGTTACGGTGCAACCATTTCCGTGCTCAAATAACTTTTACTGCGGATTTTCACCGTGTCATATTAGTGGATGCCTTTATAAAGCTGTATCGTAAATAACATCTGTATGTTCATGAAGAAAAAAGGAACAACTTATTCAGGCGTTTAATTCGGCGGGCTCAGTGACGCGTACTTTCAAACTGCGGGTAGTTGATCGAATGCGCTCCAAGCCAATTATCGTGCCAAACATACTTGTCAATCAGACAGTTGATGCTAACAGCACTGTAAATTTCACTTGCAAAGTAAGCACTGTGGTTGCATTTATTGATTTTTATGCGTTTTTGTTATGCAGCACTATAGCGCTGCTACAGTGAGCAAAAGCGCATACTGTCGAGAGATCGTCCGTGTGTGCTCGTAATCGAGTGGTCTTTATCACCCACTTTCAACTCAGCAACCAGAAAAGCTGGGAGGATGAAATTTTGAGGTCATATTCCCACCCCACGTGTCACCCTCCCGTTTTAAAACCTTCGCTCATACGTATCTAGATCTCGCGTGCGTACCAACCGGAGAAATATGCAAATTTCTTTGGCAGGAAAGAATTTCGTGATTCAAACAAAATAGAAAGCTGAAACTTTGCAGGGATATTCTCTGTGCATGTATGAGCTAAAGATTTCAAATTTAGCTATCGCACACGCTTATGTCACTCGTACGGTCACAACAAATTGCGCAGTTGGCACTGTGCTAACTCGAAAACTAACCGGAAGACAAAAGCTGAAATTTTGCCAGGATATTTTTTTTCATGCAGAAAACCATATACCTAAACTGAGTTTCGATTTGCACTTGCATTAGGATTAGGGCACTTCAAAGATATCTGTAGCGAAGTGACTGTTTTGCTTACCAGACAAGCTGCGAACTTGAAACTTTGCAAGGATGTTCTATATTCGCACGTGGTCTTAATTAAGGTTGGAGGCGAAATTCTTTGCACGCAGACATGACAAATACTCAGTTTTATCGCAAACTTGAAGGCGAGTGCATTTTGCAGATTTCATAATCCTTTTCCGACTTCCTTCAAATCTGCATTTTTTTAAAGTGTAAGCACTCACCGGAAAAGCGACTGGGCTTCGTGCAAAAAATTGATAGGCCCATGCTGCCTTGTAATGCAATACCTTCATTCCAACTGGCATTCTTTCTCCCTGCATGCGAAGAGGGGTTAAAACAGACAGCATGAGTCCAGATGTTAAATTGCAGTGTAGGACCAGCTCTACTGTTAGCGATCTGCAAGCTTAACGCAAAAATGCACGATCGCATTGGCAAGCCTGCTGCGTTGCAGCCTGGGTTTTTTTTGAGTTATTCAAAAAAAAATTTTGATTCTCTACTCAGTTTGCTAGTTTTATGTGTTTCTGCGCTATACAGCTGAAGTATCAGTGCGGTAATGCATTGGGACAAAACCCTGTATGTATAAATATAAATATATATATATATATATGTGCCGCAACTAAAACTGCTTCTTAAACTATAATGAAAAGGCGATTATTTTCACACGCTGTTACTGATTTTGGGCAGCATGCTTGTTTGAGTAATTGCCCTATCATGCTTTCTTTGTTGTTTTATCATTTTGCTTGTTCCTTTTTCGCTTGTTAAGTACTGCATAGACCATCACTGTTTTTGTTCAGTGGTTCAGAGAAGTACATTAAGCCACATCAACTCCACTTTAGTTTGTTTTATATAATCATCACAAAAAACACCCTTTAGTAAGATTACCGCTTTCTGCGTATGCGTTTATCAGTGTACGAATTAAGTCTGTCTCACGCAAAGATTCAGCTGTAGAGCCACGAATGTTAAGAAGAGCACGGAAGCATCGATCCGACTATAAGCAGATTCAGAATAGTAAAAGCAACTTTTTTGTCCTAAATCTTGAAACACGGATAAAGGTTCGACATCCGCATTATTCTAAAACGGAAACGCATAATCAGGTCAAAAAAGTGATCCGCATCTCTATTTAATAGATCCCTGTTTCCAACGCCTTTAAACAGCAAAGTTAACTGTCTTTTTGTTCAGGTTATTTCCGATCTGACACCACATATTGTTTGGATGCGTATCGAAATGACTAATGATTCGATTTATTATTGGAATGAAACCGATCGAAAATACGTCTTTCGTTATACTGATATGCAAACCGTGGAGGTTTCTAAGTTGTTCATAACTTATTTTCGATAATCTACTGGTACTGAGCACTGTTGTAAACGTGCTGGCATACTCAAAGGAAAAGGCTTCTTTTTTGCGTCCTCGAGCGATACTTAAACGCTCATGTAAAGAAGGGAAAATGCAAAAAAATGGATTATCGGGCACCAAAAAAAAAATCATTCAGTGTGTGGCAAAGCCAAGTAAAGTGTGCAAAAAATAGCCGAGGAGAGGGGAAGAGTCCAAATTTCAGGTAGGATGAGGTCAGATTCTGTTAAACAAATGCTACAGTTAGCCGGAGAGGCGCCGAATTTAGTGAAAGGTTTGTAATATCAAGCAGAAATTGTAAAACTATGTTGAAGGGAAAATAAGCCGAAGGCTGCTAAGTTTGGCGCAAAATCGCTGAAAAAGTGTTGTATTTTAAATGAGCACAAAGCAGCAGGGAGGAGAAAGACACTTTCGCTTCCTGCGTCTTTTGTTGTCTGAAGTCGGAGCGGCCATTGTTATGCGACGTGTGCTTAAAAAAGCCAAATAATCTGTTTCGACTGTTTTTGTATGCCAGAAGCTGTTGTAAAAATGTTCAACACTAGTTTTCAGAATGCAATTATAACAAAAACTTCGCAAGATTCATCGACGCTAACGATCGTGAATGTGACGGTTGCCGATCAGGGAATGTATGCTTGTGTTTCCGGCAATCATCTTGGCCATGTTAATTTTTTTCATACCATAAAGTTTCCCTTTCGTTTCTTGAAAGTTGAAAATGTGGCGTCCTGCAAAATTCGTTGAGTGCTGGGTGAAAAGGTGTAAACTTTGCAACTGTATTCTCATTTGTGAAATACCCTATTGCCTGGCTTTTTGTGTCCTTAATTTGTCAGAGTCAATCATAAAAATAAAAGAATTCCACAAAATGAGGTATTTTCTTGGCGACGCACGCGGTGCACTGGACGGCAGTGCATTTTTTAGGCTGCCTTTCCAGTTGTCGAACAGTTTTGCGTGCTGATTGTGTGGTCAACGGGATTGTTGTTCTGAAGTATAAGCAGCAATTGACATATGAAGTGCTATAAAAGACAGATGTAGTGCCGGGGGAACTAGGCACTCCCGCGTGCGATAAGATTCATTTGAGTAGTTTAGACAATATGGTAGATAGGTGGGACGGATAACTTTGAGACAGTTTAGCTGCAGAACTGAATTAAATGCTTAAATTATTTTTGGAATGTCGTGGCTCAACAAATGAATAAAATTTATCTGGGAATTTTAGGCGATAGCTAATGCAACGTTAACCGTAAATGAATTCCATGCGATGACGTTAGCAACAGGAAATCCGGACTCCAAGTGGTCTCGGGCTTCAGTCATTGCGCTCATAATTCTTTTCATTCTGCTCGTCCTCTCTTTAGCTGCCACTATATTTTACATATTTTGCGTGCGAAAGCGATCCAAGGCACAGGTGGCCGAAATGGAGCAGTTCATCGGTCCTGTCAAAAAAAGGGTATATCTGTTTTTTTGAGTAAACAAAAGCTTAATGTAACTCATTAAGTCACTTGCTGATAGACACATCGCAGTGTTAAGTACCACCATTCTTATACTAAAAATCAAGGATTCGACTGTGCCAGTGGAAAAACCAATCCGTCTACGATTCATTCATTTGTTTTGATGATAGAATTGTAAACGACACATGCCTGGGAACCGCCACCAGCTTTCTTTTTTAATCAATTCTCAGAACAAAAAGCCATCAGTAACTTGCAATGATTATTTGTCGTTAGCCATCTCACTTCGTTCAGATCAACTGCGAGTGTCTCCACTTGTCAAAGAAACTGATATATTAAAGAGGGTTATTTTTTATGCAAATGCAGGAATGCATATTGTGACTGTCAATGTTTGTGCGTGTGTATGCGTTTATTCCATCATTTTGGTTTCCTGCTCAGTGGGTTTCCTGTGGGTTTCATGCCCAGCTGCTATCCCAGGAACACAGTACCAATTTAGACCCATGTGCGGACACGTGAAAGTTAGAGGTTTAAAACTGCTGACTCGAAAATTAGAAAAGCTGGAAAGCTGAAATTTTAAGAGGATGTTCTCTGTCCATACAAAAGCTTCAAATCCAACCCTTAGGCTTGCTTGGTTCTCGCCTATGAGCGCACAAAATTTCCACGTGATTCTCCTTTAATTTCTGTTCAGCGGCCATATTGCATTTACAGTGAACGACCAGCAGCTAATTATGCGTTTCTGCCTATATGCAAATTGCAAAAACGCATATTGGGACGACCCTGTCTGTGTCTGTGTATGTATGTATGTGTGTGTGTATGTTTGTGTGTGTGTGTGTTCGTCTGTCCGGGTATT